GCTTGCGGCACTTCATTCTAATGAAGAAATAATTACAGAATGACAAACCTGAAGAAGGACACGCAAACGGATAGTGTACTAGAACGCCGTCGTTTGTCTGTAACTAGTACTGTGTTACTCTGTATGTACTGCTAAGCTTTATATCGCATATTGTAGCGTTATTGCTGTAATTTTGTTAATAATTGAATTCTAAACATTGCATATAAAGGTAAAGGTAAAGGTCTCCCTTGCTCGAAAGCCAGTCGAATCCGACTCTAGGGTGGCGGTGCTCATCTCCGTTTCCAAGCCGAAGAGCCAGCGCTGTCCGAAGACGTTTCTGTGGTCATGTGGCCGGCATGACTAAACACCAAGGCACACGGAATGCTGTTCCCTTCCCACTGAAGTGGTACCTATTTATCTACTTGCAATTTCTTGCTTTCGAACTGCTAGGTTGGCAGGAGCTGGAACTAGAGCCATTGCATATAAAAACCAACAAATATTGTTTAATTGTACACGGTAATTGACTGTTTTACTAGCTATTATACACCGTGGTCCTGTTTGTTGTAATATATCCATTAGGCCTGAAGCAACGGAACTTTGTTCTTTGTTCTGTTGCTTCAGGCCAAAACGGCGACCCACCAGGCTCTATCTTTGGTGCCCGAAGACGTGGCGGGGGAAGGCGGACCTACCTTTCTCACAAGGAGGAGGCAGGTAATATAGCCACTGCGGCCGGAACTCCTCCGCGCGCCACCGCCAACAGAAATCATTCACGCCCAGGGAAATGGCATACCTGTACTGCCGAGCCCTGTCCATGTACTCGTGCTGTTCCATGCCCTGCGAATCCGCGGCCGAAACGTCGATGATGTTGCTACCGGGAAGGAAAAGGCGGGGTTTAGCAGGAGGGGGAACCTCTCGCCCCGGCCCAACCACGCCACATTCTCCTGCCACCATGTCCCCAACAGGGACGTCCTTTCTAAACAACGCTGCGGCCATCAAAGGGGATGCAACCCACAAGCTGTACCAGTCCCCCAACCCGGTGCCTTTGGCTGGCACAACAAACAGGTGCTGATTGCAATGGACCACAGCGATGCCAAGGTGGCACTGATGAGGTTGTGTGCCACCTGCTACCCCACCTGCCACGGAATCACTTTTTGGGGTCCCACGCTTCTTCCGTGGAACTCAGGGTGGCCTTCATCGTCCTCACTGCTTTAGCTTTACGACAACCGTGCAAGGTCAGCCGAGAGACACTGACTCAAGGTCATCCAATCGGCTTCATGGCTAAGTGACCCTATACTGTGCACTCCACCTGCGGTGCAAGGAAACCTTTGCTGTTGTTGTTGTTGTTCAGTCGCACAGTCGAGTCTTCTCCGGCACCTATCTATACCTTCTGGCTAATACCCACTGATGGACCTCTGCTCCATTGTTGTTGCTCAGTCGCACAGTCGAGTCTGACTCTCCGCGACCCCATGGACCAGATCCCGCCAGACCCTCCTGTCTTCCGCCGTCCTCTGAAGTTGGCTCAATTTCATGTTCGTTGCATCTCTGACACTGTCTAACCATCTCGTCCTTTGCAATCGCTGTCTTCTTTGACCTTCAATCTTTCCCAGCATCAGGGTCTTCTCCAGTGATGAGTGATTTGTAAAGGTAAAGGTAAAGGTCTCCCTTGCTCGAAAGCCAGTCGAGTCCGACTCTAGGGTTGCGGTGCTCATCTCCGTTTCAAAGCCGAAGAGACAGCGCTGTCCGAAGACGTTTCCGTGGTCATGTGGCCGGCATGACTCGATGCCGAGGTGCACAGAACGCTGTTACCTTCCCACCAAAGTGGTACCTGTTTATCTACTTGCTTTCGAACTGCTAGGTTGGCAGGAGCTGGGGCCAGAGACGGGAGCTCACTCCGTCATGCGGCACTCGGGTCTCGAACTGCTGAACTACCGACCTTCCACAGCCTGCAGTTCAGCGTCTTAACCACTTGAGCCACCGCAGCTCCCAGAGTAATTTGACTACTGCATAAATCAATTTGCTCTGGAGCCATCCTTCCTGAGGTAAGACAAAAATGTGTGAGCTGGAGGCTAAAAAACTGTGAGCTGGCTCACACTAACTCTACTTAGAGGGAACACTGGCTGTGGGTAGAGCCGAGACCCTCTCCCCCCCCCCCCCCCAAGGGGGGGTGGGCCCCTA